TGTATGCATTACTTTTTTAGAACATTAAAATTTTAATTTCTTTTTAAATATAGAAGAAAATTCTTAGTAACAACAGGAAAGAAATGCATAAGCATCTTGCCATGGCTTTCTTTGGTGAAAGGAATTATGGCTTTGTGTGTGTGTGTGTGTGTGTGTGTGTGTGTGTTTTGCTTTAAGTGCTTTTTTAAAAAGTGTATTGCATTTATAATCAGAAAATTAAATAAATTCTTACTCTAGATCAGGTCTGATTGGTGTATGCAGAAATATCACTTCTGTTTTTAAGCTATGTGGATCTGAGGGCCAGCATCTCTAAAGCTTCTCTCAGTGTTCCTTAACCTCCATTTTTGTATCTGTGATTTATACCTCCAAATTTACCTTTCTACTAAATAACCAATATAATTGATTAGATGATAATTGTAATTTCATTATTTTCATTGTTTTATATTATTGCTTCTCAATTAATCCTGAAGCTTTTTATACAAATGTTATAGTAGTGATACTAAGATAAAAATGATTAAAAAACTACTATAAAGAGTGCCTATTAATTTCAAGGCTTTCTTCCAAGATATTTTCACATATTAACCCATTTAATCCTCTTGCTAATACTACGAAGTATTTTTCTTTCCTTTAGTGATGGGGAAACCAAGGTATAGAGAGGCTAAGTAACTCACCTAAGACCACAAGGCTACTCTGTGCTGGATGTAGAGAAGAGCAGGTATATAGATGATGGGTGGCACTTCAGCTCGAGTGGCCTGCCATCAGGATCCTGCTTATCACTTTAGACCCATGCAGAGAATGTGACTTAACTGGAACATGTTTTACCAGTAAGAACATTCATTTTGTTACTTCATAGAATACATGATCCTTTTATTGCCTCTTTAAAAATATCAATATCTAAGTAATTTCATTCATTTATTCATTTAATTGGAAACTGATTATGCTTCAGTTTTATACCCACTCTACTGCCATTAAATATTTGAGAGAGCTAATTTTGATTCATGTTACTAGGACCCAAATTCACTGTAAATTATCTTAGGATTCATTACAAGATAGGTAAGTAGGCCATTGACTCCCTCATGAAAGACTAATAGAAGATCAAAAGAATGGCCTTGACTCTGTGGTTTTATTTTTTTCTCCCTCTAGTTTGTCCTGTATTAGGCCTTGACTATAATAAGTATTTAATACTAGAATACACAGTGCACACAAACTCAATTTTAACTAAAACAACTCTTGTCAATATGAATAATGAGAATAATTTAATTTTCTAATGAAATTTCCATTTAAAAGAATTTTTCCAAACTGAAAGATTTTTACTTAAAGCTTATCAAAGAGATTTCTATTCCTCTCTTACTTAACATAAACAACAAAAAAGAAAGAAAAATATAGTGGTGATGGTAGGATAGAAAACAAAGCAAAAAACTGCCTGTCTTCAATGAAAAATGTGAATAGACAGTATCCCAAAACAGACTCTAAAACACATTTTCATCACTGCTAAAAAAAAAATAAATAAAAAATAGACTTAAGGGAAGGTGCATCAGGATAAAGTGATAATTACCTTCTCCTTCTCTTACTTTTAGGAGGATGCAGTTTGCCTCTAAACCTGATACCTCCTATTTCCTACCCCCACACACTTGAACAGCCTCCCCTAGAAGCAAAGTATGCTACCATAGTGATACATGGTTCTATAATTTGTTGCAATTGTTTAACTTACACTGTTACATTACTATCATTCAAAATTCATAGTTCATACTAGGGTTGATTCTTGTTGTACATCCTTAGGATTATGACAAATATATAATGACATGTTTCTGCCACTATAGTATCATACAAAATTGTCTCAGTGCCTTAATTATCATCTCTATTCTGCCTATGCCTAGATCTCTGCCTGTTTTAAAAGAAAAAGATCAAAGGGGTGAAGAAGGGGGAAGTGCAGATAAAAAATGTCAATCTCAAGAAGAATCAGCCCCAGTTTGGAGGATGTACTTAGACAGTTACTTTACATAGAGTTAGTATCTTTTGCGTATATTTTTTAAAAGAAAATCAAAGTGAACTGAAAAATGTATAAAATTAAAAATAATTTGGATAAGATAATAGATGTTGAAGACAGACACGTGAGACCCAACATGCCCATAATTGGTGTTCCTGAAGAAAAAGAAGTAATATAAAAACAATCTCCACATTCTCTGGGGAAAAAACATCAAATACATAGTGTGACAATAAAAAACTGAAATAAAATAATCTCAAATCAGTGGGGTACACCATCCCCAAGCCAATTGAAGAAGACTGACCAACTTCAGAACATATTCTGGCAAAAACAACCAACCAAACAAACAAGAATCAGGTGGCCATCCATCACAATAAAAGAAAGTTATATACAAGGATGAAAACTTCAAATATATCTAAAAACTATTGGACAGCAAAATTCAATACGGGAAGTGTCCTCAGCATTGTTTATAAATATTTACAAATGTCTGAAGGAAAAAAATAAATCTGATTCAAGAAAGATAACTTGTCTTCCATGTTTAAAGCAAATGGAAGAAACATTCTATCTAAGCACACAGAAAATACAGCATCTATGACAGTTTCTTTGATGGAGGGCTAAAAATGAACTCTAGCAACCCAAGAAATGACTCAAAGTAAAGAATACAGGAATGATAAATTGAGCAACTGGTAAGGACTAAATCTTTTCAAACTTGAAATAAATCCAAATGAAGACTGTAGGAATTAAGCCAGGATATAAATACTATAAATCTCAGTAATATAAAACTGATACTATAATTAAAATTCGGGTGATATGTGTAAGAGAGATAAAATCCATGTGCTAATTTCTTTATCACAACAGGGACTTATAAGAGATAGTTTAATATTTAAACCTGCATTCTAAAAATGACTTCAAACTATTAATAATTTTATAATTGTTGTTCTTAACTGTAAGGTGATTTTTTTCTGGAACTAATCTTTCTCTTGGAAAGAAATAAATACCTGTAATTTTGTCATCTTTTTTAGTTTTATATCAGCTTTCTTTTTTCCCTGCTTCGTCCAAATCTAAAATTAAATTCAATACCTTTGTCAGAGTAGGGTAAGATCATGTCTTTTTAAAAGAATGTCTGTCTATGGATCTATCTGTCAACTATCTATCTGTATATCTATCATCATCACCATTGATGATATTATGTAAATACTTATTTGTAAAAATATAAAAAATAAATATATGGTAAGAAGTCATTCTTACTGAAGTCTTTCTTACTCAATGAATCAACATTGGGTATCTCCAATGATAGTCTTTAAATTTATAATTGTTATTATGGGTGTTGAGAGTTCTTTTTCAAACTTTTAGGTTTCGCTTGAGTTATTTTTAACAAATATACTGTATGCTACTGTATTCTAATATGTTAAAATAAATACATAAGTGTATAATAAGCAAATATTATTTGCTTAAAAGTCATAACCTTCCTCCTTCACTAAGTTTGGACCAAATGTGTAACAATCTGCTAAATGATAATTTAAATTTGTTTTCATTAAGAAAATTTACATGGAGAATTAAAAAAAAAAGTATTCTGGAACTTCACTAGAAATGCTCAAAGGAAGTGATGCACTGTAGTTGATGGGATTTTTTTTTTATAAGATGTGATAAGTTATGCATTTATATAACCTCATATAAGGCCTTACATAAAAGTTTGCAGATTTATATTTTTATAGTCTTTGGACTGCATAGCCATGATGTTGCTTTTAAAAAATCACTGAAGCATCAAAGATGAAATAGCTCTGTATTTCTGTTTGTTATACAAATCATGTCAGTATTTTTGTATGTGTCTGTTTGTTTTGTGAATTTGTGTAGGTTTACATGTATGAGAGAAGGGAGAGGAAAGGGAGAGTGTGCTTAAATATCTTTTTTTCTTATAAAATACAATACACATAAATCAGTAAAGCCTTTAAAAACAAGAATAAAAAAGATGATAAACAAACCCATCAGGCAAATGAAAATTGTTCAAAACAAGCAATTCAGTATCAACATATGGCTTCTTTTTTTACAAAGATCTCTGAAAAACATTGCCACTGTAGATAAGATTATGAATACCTCGTTTTCCAAATTGATTCTGTGTAATTCTACTGTTCTCCCTATTTTTCCTCTTGGTATAACTTCTATTTAGTCATTCTGTGAATGTTTCTCAGAGGACATAGTCAGGATGCTGATTATTTAAACATAAGTAGTTTACAATTGGAGAAGCAAAACTATGAATTTCAATTTTCCCCCAAACTCCCAATGTTGGCAGTATTCCATTAACATAACGGGTTATATGTGGCTAATCTCAGAGCTCTTAAAAGTTTTGTTCCCAAGTCATCAACTTTTGAAACTTTCCATAAAGTATTATACATACCTTAATACTGACAAGCCTAACTGTAATAAATGGCAACTCCAGAAACTATTATCTAGAAGCTACATAAGTGGCAAAATACTGGATGAATTTTGCAAGCTCATGTGACCTCCAGTCTTACTTTGCTTCCCTAACCGAAACCCTCCCCAAGGAAACTTTTCCTAAACATTCCTTTAAATCATCCGTTGGACACTGTAAACCCCACCCCTTTACCCTCTGATGAAAAAATTTAGCAATCACAGCTTCCATTTGCCGGTACAGAAAGGGCGTAAAGCCATCTGAAAGTACTAGAATTAGCACTGTCATCCCGTCTTGCCCATTAGTTTTACTGCAGCAAAGACTAGTGCAACACTGAAAAATATACCTGTAGTCTCTTTCCCTGGTTTGATCCTAAGCTCTTCCGAATACAGGTTCAATACATTTTCTTTCACAGGAATAAATGCATTTTAAGCATCAGCATCATGGAAACATAAATAAAGCATAAATAAAGCAGTGACTTCTCCCCCAACCCAAGCTTTTACCTGTTATGCTAATACAAAGACATTGAAAGGAAGAAAAGCTGCAGCTTGCCCAACAATGTTCTCATTGCAGCAGACAGCACAATTTTGTACTTACAGATCTTACCAGGGAAACGTCTCGGGATCTTTACAGTTTTTTCTGCAGAACTCTGTTTCAAGCTCTCAGCCAGGCATGCTGTGCATCCAGGCAGAACCAAGCCGTATGGAACGTCTATGCAGCTGGGAGATAATGGGACTCTTTTTCCCAGCTGGGACCGCAAGCCTTTTATCCACTGAATACTGCGTGGCTCCTCTCTGGTCTTAAGCATAAAATACGCTTCTCTACTGCTTCATTCCTGACGGAACCTAGACAATTAGTTCTTGAGGCACATGTGCAAATCTCCCGTTTGGAATATTCAAAAGGAAAATTCTCCCTGCATTGAAAAGCCAGCTCTATCTTTGTCATCCCTCACAGAATCAGAGAATACTAAGAGCAGCTGCCATTCCAGTGGCATGAAAGATTAAATTCACCCTCCCCCTTTTTTTTGACTAGAGATAGTCACTCCTGTTGGGTCATCAGAAAATCTCTTAATGAAAACTGGGTCAGGCTAACTACTTATTAGGCTTCCAACCGGAAAAGAAGTAATTTTTTTTTTTCTTCCTCTGGTTTCACTGCATTGTCATTTGCAAGTGAAGATTAAGCCGGTCAAGGGTCTGCCCTGATTTAGACTGTATTCAAACGTAAGCTTTCTGAAGCGTGCCTATAACTTCTGCCACTAGTTAGGGAGAAGAGAAAAGGGAAATAAAATCAAAGGATCTTATGCACTGTCACTGAAACCTTTCTAAACCTTTTTTTTTTTTTTAATTGGTGCACGAGGCTTCTAAAAGATAGGTAAGCACATGAAGTGACATCCAAAAGCATAGAGCTGCTCTCCCAGGTAACACACATATAATCTTTGAGTCCAAGAGCCACTGTGTATGAGTTTGCAAAACAGCTCTGTAAGGAAAAGAATGTTATTTGTGTTTTGCAACCAACTTTTCAGCGAAACTTTTTAATATGTAGGGCTTTGCCATTGGTTTTGAAGGGAGTAACAGCTTGTTGAATGAAAATAAGAAAGAGACCATCTGAATGCAGAGATACCAACACATACACACATGGCTCAACATGAGAGCAGAAAAATTGCTTGCACTTATTTTCATGTAGTAATAAAAAGAAATTCACTTTTAATATCTTCAAGTATGTGGATTCTGGGAAAACGAAATCCACAAATCGAATATGGGTATCTTTCAGACTCAGTTTGTCTTTATCCGATAAGCCAAAAGGTTTCTGTGACTGCATGTTATGACTACATTTTATGGATTTCTATGATCACATTCTTCTGTAAAAAATGTCAGTCATATACCTCATTTCTACATGGGGTCTAATTACCATCCTGGGAGGCTTAAGAGAGGAGTTAATGCTTCATAACACTAGGTTAATCAAAATGGACTGTACTATTCTTCCAATTTGTGAAGAAGCAAAATGGAAGAAGTATTTTATAGGGATGATAATTGCCTTAACTGAACCTCTACATTTTTTTTTTTTAAATTTAGAGGCATCTCTCTTTTGAAATCAACATATTATTCACTTATAAAAATGCCAATATGCTGAATTTTTCTTAGGATATATGAGAAAAATAGTCATAATATAGAGGGTTTTTCCATCAAGAGGAATTAATTTAATTTAAAAGATGCCCCTTGACTGAAATCTTTAATACCTCTGCCCCATATTCAAAGATAGCTAATTGCTTTGCTTTCTATGTCCCTGAGAAGGGAGTAACAATCAGAAGACAGCTCTAGGAGTTCCTCCTGCTGCCTCCAGTCACATATCTGCCCCTGTGACCATAGACGCTGCCTTCACTTCCGCGTTCCTGAGTGAGCCATGCTCCTTACCCAAGCCAGGTCCCCCACTATGCCCTGGTTAATGTGCTCTCTTATGTATTCCAGACATTCTTCCAGCTACTTGTCCCCCTCTTCAGAATCACCGATTCTCCCCCTCTTCTGTGTCATTACAGCATGGAGATTAAAAAATCAACAATCTTTCAGATGTCACATTGTCTTCCACCTACCTCTATCATTTTCCTGCCTCTTCTTACAGTCAAGTACCTTGAAAGAATTGGCTATACTCATGATCTTCCAGTCACCCTTTTACTTTCTATCTTGAATCCAATTTAATTGGCATTTTCTCCCTACTGCTCCATATCTCACTAGCTGTTCCTTCTTAGAAACATTTGCTGGGATCTTCTCATATTCTTGTGGCTCAGCTGGTAAAGAATTCGCCTGCAATGCAAAAGACTGGGTTTGATCCCTGAGTTGGGAAGATCCCCTGGAGAAAGGAAAGGCTACCTACTCCAGTATTCTGGCCTGGAGAATTCCATGGACAGTTCATGCGGTCGCGAAGAGTCAGACATGACTGAGCAACTTTTACTTCACTTCTCATATTCTTATTCTTTAGTCACTGAGGCATCAAATCTTTAAACTAAGGTCTGTACACTAAAAACTACACTACAGTGAAGTACAGAGAGAAATAAACTAAGACTTAAATAAAAAAAGAAATATACCATGTTCATGGATGAGAAAATATTTTTAACAAGTCAATTATCTATAAACAGGTCTTTAGATTTGAAATAATTCTAATCAAAATCTCAGCTGGTTTTCTTGTGGCAGTCATGACAATAAAATTTACTAGAATGAAAATAGCTATTAAAAAGAAAATCAAAAAGATAAAGAGCAAAATGGAAGTTGTTTTTTCTGATTTTAACACTTACTACTCTCCTAAAGTGATCACAGCAGTGTAGTTTTGGCAGAACACTTCAATAGAACATAAAAAAATATTTAAAAATAGAACTACACTAAAAAAACAAAAAAAAAATAGAACTACACTTACAGGATCAATTGATTTTAGACAAAGTTTCCAAGATAATTATGATTAAAATGTCATATTTAAGAAACAGTATTTAAACAAATGGATATTTGTTTGGAATTTGGAATAAATTAATCTTAACTCACTAAACACACACCAGGAAAATGAATCACAAACCTAAACATAAAATTTGAAATGGATCACAAACCTAAAAGTAAAACTTTGAAACTTCTAGAAGAAAATATGCAAGTTATTGGGGTAGGAAAATATTTCTTAGGACACACATACGTACACATTTAAATGCAATAGCACAAAACATAGAGAAAGATAAAATATTGGCCTTCATCAAAATGGAAAATGATCTTTGAAAGATATCATTAAGGAATTTTAATTTTAATTTAAAGAACTCAATAACAAGAAGAACACCAACTAAAACAATTTAAAAATATATAAACAGACATTTCACCAAAGATATGTGAATAACTTTTAAGCACATAAAAAAAGGTGCCCAGCGTCATTCATCAGGAAAATGCAAATGAAAATGACAGTGAAATACCACTACACAGGGCTTCCCTGGTAGCTCAGCTGGTGAAGAACCTGCCTGCAATGCAGGAAACCCCAATTCGATTCCTGGGTTGGGAAGATCCCCTAGACTACTCCAGTATTCTGGCCTGGAGAATTCCACAGACTGTATAGTACATGGGGTCACAAAGAGTCAGACACGACTGAGGGACTTTCACTTTTCACCAATTAGAAAGGCTAAAATGCAGAACAGTGAAAATACCAAAGCGTTTTTGAGGATGTGAGTCAACTGAAATTCTTACACCTGGGTTGCTAAGAGTTTAAAGTGTTAAAACTACTTTGAAAAGCAATTTGGCAGTTTCTTAAAATATTATTACCAAGAAACTCTACTCCTGTGTATTTTCTCAAAGGAAAAAAAATAAAAACATATGTCCACACAAAGGTGTTCAGTGAAGATTCAGAGCAATTATTTCTAATAGGCAAAAGTTGGAAACCACACAAATGTTTATCAGAAGATTAATGGATTAGATAATGTGCTACTTTCACAAATGTAATACTTGTTAGCACTAAAAAGACAAAATTTGCTAATACTTATTAGTTAGATTAATCTAGAAAATGGTATGCTATTAAGAAAGATATTCAGGGAAAGCCACAGCAATTTGATAATGACAGAAAACAAAGAATGCTTGCTTAAGGCTGAGGTGGAGAGAGATTAATTGCAATTGGGTATCAGGGAATTTTTCAAGTGATGAAAATATTGGTTTTGGTTGTGATTGAGGTTACAAAGATATGCACATTTGACAGATGCTTTCATACTCTGCAAGTGAGTATGTTTTATTTCATGTAAAGTATCTTACAAAGTTGAGATGTAATAAATTAAATGATGATGATGTTAGGTAGTTGCTTTTCTTAAAGTTTTGAAAAACTAAATATTGACAAGCCTATCATTCAGACCAAATATTATCATGTTTGCTATTGCCATAATTACTGATTTTATTGGGCTATGAAAATGCCCTCTCCAATTTCTCTTATGATGGTTAGTCATTTCAGTTCTTTTTCAATATGTGTCAATTTAATGTGTTTATATTTTTTTAGAAGACAATGGTGATGATGGTGATGATGGTGACATCGATATAGCCAATAGTATGTGCCAGGTAGTATTTTAAATGTTTTATATTAGTTATTTATTTTATCTTCACAATAACCTGATTAGTGTTATCATTTTCCACATGTAAAAAACAAGGAAATTGAAGCACATAGTGGTAAACTGAATTGTCTTAGAGCATCCAGTTAGGAGATGGTAAGGGGGGATCAAACCCAGGCAGTCTGGTATTAGAATTCAGTATTAACATTGATTTTATTATTCAGAATCTTATATTCCTTTTTATATTTTCTCTACTTGGCATGTCAAATTCTGTGAAAAGCATGTTAAATATTCCACACAAATCTTTTTTAAGTCAAATAATCCTTATTTTCAAGAAGATTTTGCACTGCATATTCTGCTGCTGAATTGCTTAATGGATAAATGTTATATAAATATATATATATGTGTGTGTGTGTATACATATATATTATTAGTATCTCACTACAGTGAGATATGTAGTATATACAGTATCTATCTATCTTATTGCCTACCTACACAGTGAATTGCATCTCTTTGTGTATAAATATATATATATGTATATGATTGCCTCTCTATGATATAGCATCATTAGGAATCTTTTTAAATTGTTTACATCTCTTGCATCTGAATTCTGTTTGGCATCCCCGTTTTCTAGTTTGCATTTTCCTGTATATATTTCACACTAACACAATTTTTTGCCACTTTTTTGAACTGTCTTTCTCATAATCATCATGCAGTTGGATTTTTTAATCCAGTGTG